TTAGGTACCTATTTCTCAGTGTTTCCTTTCATTTGTTTTTTTCAGAAATAAACATCCCTGCATCCTTTACGCTCAACCTTCTTTTTCATTACGCAGAACAAGGAGTCCATTAGCTTTGTGTTCATCCTGCAAATACCATATCGGCTGCCACATTTATTGATTCACCAGTGGAACTAGGCCAAAGGACCCACTGAGAATACTGTGGGTGTGGGTTTAATAAAACACACATAAAATGTCACTTCAGATCTTGACTCAGGCTTAAAGTTCTTCAATTGGATGTTGAACCCGCATGATGCTGTCACATCCGTTTGTCAGAGTGATTTAGAGGAAACACAGGTTTGAAATCAATAACTTCACATGTTTAGGTTGTTATTTCAGAATTAAAGTTTTAAACAAAAGAAAATAAATTATTAAAACCCTTTTTTTCCCCCATTTCTCTATTTTGTACTGTACTGTGGTTGGACTGTACCATTAGTGGCCGGGGGAGTCCCAGTGACACAGTTGAATTATGTTACACATCTGACAATGCAATAATTTATCAGCTGCCCCATTTATGTTGGGTTTGGGAACATAATATGAACATTAAAAAAATTCTATCCAATATATTGTTGATAGCATTTATTATTGCGTAACATATTAAATATATATTATACATAATATTGTTGTGTAACTGCGTGGCTGTAGGCTACTCCCCAAAAGTGGTAATGGTACAGTCCAACAAGAACAAAACCCAGGAATGGAAAATCAGAGTAATGATTCATTTGTTATTTTGGTTGAAAAGTCAACAGCTGACACGGAGCCTATTCCAGCTGACTTTGGGTGAGACGCAGGTACACCCTGGACAGGATGGCAGTCCATCATAGGTCCAACACTCACACCTACAGCCACATTAGAATCAGCAGTTGACCTGTGCATGTCTTTGGACTGTGGACAAAAACAAACTCCCCACTGACAGCAGGTTTAAATGAAGGCCCTTTACACTGTGAGGCAACAGTGCTGACCAATGCACCACTGTGCCATCCCAGATCGAACGTCCCATTCATTTGTGAGGTCAAAAAAATAGATTTGTCATTTTGACAGTGTAAATTGAACAAAGACTAGACAGTGTCAGAACCAAAAGCTGATCTTTTTCATCTTGTTTTGTATTTTAAATGTTTTAATCTAACAAATAAGGCTGGTGAGGCCCAGATTTGATTATAGTTGTAGCACAGATGCACATCTGTCATATATACACTGTATGAATATAAGTGTATTTGTTTGTAATTCGTCTGTCAGAGCAAAAATTGGTATTGATTAAAACTGGTGTGATTGTGCTGATGCATCAGTTTCTCTGTTGTTGGTGGGTGGTCATCATCACAGAGTTTGAAAAGAAGGAAATGGAGGTTAATGACCCCCGATATGACTCTTAGCATTTCACATACACACTCTATACTCACATGGAATGGCATTATAGCCCCATTTATACCTTCATCTCACACACACACACACACACACACACACACACACACACACACACACACACAGACACACAGAGACACACACTCGGACATGTGAAGGAAATGGGCTCTCGGGGGGGAAGACTTTATGAGTTACGCCTTGTAAAGCGTGCAACGGTAAAATCTTTCCCTCCAGGCTCTTACTGATGTGATGGGCTCTTTTATTGGGGTCAGGAGAGGGCCCAGCGCTGAATCTAACAGTGCCTATGTGTGTGTGTGTGTGTCTGTGTGTGTTTGTGTAGTGGTATGGGTATTTAGTGGTATTTTTTGTAACACAGACTCTTGACCCGACATTAAGCCTGAGTGTGCTGAGTTTCCTAGGTCACCAAGGTTACACGTTTACTGTTTTCCAGTAGCATCTCAGTTCAGCTTACACCCTCATCTATAGACACATTTTTAAGATTGCACACACACACACACACACACACACACACATACACCGAGCCACCTTCATCAGAGAAACACATTAACACAAACTCTCTCATACACACTTGCTCACAAAAGTTATTGAACCAACCCTCTTAAATGGCCTGTGGTCATTTAATGATGCAACCAAAGGAAAGCCTGTTACTGTGTTGTATTGGGTGTGTGTGTGTGTGTATAAGACAGATAGGCCGAGAGAGAAATGTGCATATAAACAGCAACACAGTAAGAGCTCTTAGAACGTTATTTGCCTTTGTGCTTTTTACATGGCAGTATATTAGTTACTAGCAGGCTTTTATGCTTTTATTTTTTATGCAACACTTATCATTCAAGGTGAGTTTGCTCAGCGGAGCCTGACCTTGTTCTGGGTACTTTTGGCTCTTTGCCCCTGGCCATTTAAAAATAATTTCAAGCTAATGATTTATACCCAAAATGGCACCGATTCCTAAATCTCCTTATCTTAAATTTCCTTCATATACTTCAGCAGTGATTTTATCTTGCAGCTCAGCAATGTGGTGAAGGACATTTCATTAAGCAATAAAGCAGTTAAACTTGTCACGATCACATCCCAGTTCACAGCTTATGGAGCTATAAGACAAGAAATGTATAGTTTAACCCGCTAACAGTCTTTCTTTTATTCTGTTAATATTCGTCTAAGTGCAGTGCGGTTCGGAGTGTTTTAGGATTACTGTCCCAAGGTTGCTTTTAATGGAAAGCGCACTTCAGACGATGATTCATCTATGCTAACAAGCGCAAACAGATAAAAGATCTCTCTCTCTCTTTGCCGTTCTTAGAAGCCACATAAACACAGTCGTCTTTTCATCTGCCCTGCACCTCGGTGACATAAAATCCTACCTTCTTTAGAAGTGACTTGGTATAAAAATAGATTTCATTTTTTCATACTCACTGTCACAGCACCCTATTGGGCCAGGTCAGTTTTAGTCATTTAAAATCATAGTATAGGACTTTGCACTCATCCTTTGTGGGATCTAGAATTCTAGAGCCCATCCCAGCATGCATTGCAGACGAGCATGCAGGGTAAGGACTGAGCATTATGCATGATCTGTGCATACGATTGAAGACAGAACCTGCGACTCCTCCCCAAATGGTTCTCACAGAGGCCAAAACTAATGATGCATTCACGCCGTTTCTGTCAAGAATGTAATTGCATATCTTCTGCCTGTCAGCCAGCGCTTTGTATACCATCATCTGCTTTGCCGTTTGCGCCGTTCAACTCTTTTCATCTGTCACACCTTATGCCGCGTTCATGTCACATTGTTTAGACTGTAATTACAAGCTGAGTGGGGAAAAATATTTACGTCAGCCTTCAACTCTGAGTCCGAGTCTGAGATATTGGCAATTTGTGACACCAGCTATATATCGCCAATGTAGTGAAAAGAGCTACAAAACTTCTGGCAGAATGACTGAAAGTATTTACGCCTCATAGAAATGTGCATTTGTGTCTGAACTTCTAATATTTTAGAGTGCATTAATATTGTATTTGAAGAACTAAATGCAAATTGGACCAAAAACACGAGTAAAAAAAGAAAAGCTCTACATTCAGACATAACTTTTTGCATGCGTCTCGACACCACGTAGCACCGGTGTCATTTGAATCGATGTCAGAAGATGTGCAAAGGTGTAAGAAGAAATCAAGGATGACAGAAATCTGTCTTCAAAGTAGAAAGTCCTCCTAAACACACTCAGGTACTTTATTGCTTTGCACACACACTTCTTCGGAATCCATCCAGTGTCGCAGTGTAAATATCAAATGTGTTTGATAATCTGGTCGGCTCATATCAGTCCCGGAGACAGTTGGTGTGCTTAAAACTGAATCATGAAGTACTCACATTACCTGACACTCGGTGACAATCATCTGCTTCAGCCGAGCCTCCGTCCTCAACTGTCAGAAAGGAAACGTGGTGTAAATCCCCCCGGATAATCCTGTAACGGGAATCGGTGAAGAAAGAGTTAGTGACAAACATTGAAAGCGGAAGACAGACGGACTGAATCACAGACGGATGTCGGCGGGGGGAGATCAAACAGGCAAGAGAGACAAAGACCAATTCACCTCAGAGCAAGAGGAGGAGAAAGAGAGCAACAATGAAGTGTTTCGAAAGTACCTCCAACTTTAACACATCTTTTAAACTAACAGAGAGGAGAAAAAAAAGAGTTGTTTATATGTTAAAATGTTCTGGAACTCACTCCGATTCCGATGACGCAGCGTTTTGCTCTGGCTGATATCAAAGAAAACAACAGCAGCTGTCAGGCGGTAAATTGCGGCTGCTAACACTTTGTGACAGGAGTGGGAGGAAAGGAAGAGTGAGAGGAGGAGAGAAAGCTAAAACAGGATTCCTGCAATTCAGGCTTTTGATGTGTGACAGCGAGCTGAAGGTAGAGAGGAGGGGTGACTACGGGAAGAAAGGAAGGGATTTAGGATAGAGGGAGAAAGAGATAACGAAAGAGGTAGAAGAGGAGAGGGGGATGAGAGAAGTAGAAGCAGGGTGAGAAAGGTGACGGGAGGCAGAGAGAGAGTGTAAATATTCGTCTAAGTGCAGAACCAAAAAGCTGAATTTTGTGGCTCTTCGGGAGTCATTTGTCGAGGCCAAGGTGCAGATAGAAGTCTTCCAGCAACAGTCCTTTGCAGAAACATAAAGTCTGTTCGTGGTTTTAAAGTTTGGTAGACTTTCTCAGTGTCTTAAAAGTGCAGAAGAATCAGCAGGAGAGGAAGCCAGCACTTAACAGAAGAGCATGTCAGAGCGCTTTGTTTCACAGACAAGTGATCTCTGAGGAACCGCAAAGAAGTTTTGCAAAAGTTTTAAAAAGCATCTTGCAAACTCTTAACTTTTAGCTTAAATAGTTGCTCCTGTGCCTGTTGTTGACTTTCTTGCTTTTGTGGATTTTTAGATATCAGATCAGAAATTTCACTGTGAAGAAAAAATGCCCCAAAAAACCAGGAACTGCTGAGTCATCTATGGAGTGATAATGATGCATTTGCCGTTAGCCTGTTTTGTTCTGTTTGTTTCTGTCAGCAGCATGTCAACATCAGTTGTTTTGTTTTTTCTGTCTGACCCACCTCAGGTGAAAGTGATGGTGCGTGTCTGCCCGGTGTCTCAGTCCGACGCAGCAGAGTCCAGTTCTTTCCTCAAAGTGGATCCCAGGAAGAAACAAATCACCATCATGGACCCTTCAGCAAATCAGACCCCAAATGCTGCCTCTCAGAAAAGAGTAGGAGCCAATCAGGTCCCTCCGAAGATGTTCACCTTTGATGCTGCGTTCCCTCCTGATGCATCACAGGTGAGAGAAAACACAGGAATTAACTGTGATTTTAATGTGAAACCTTGCATGCAGTGGTGAAATGTGACTTAGTGCATTTACTCTACTTGAGTACATGTTTGAGATACTTTACTAGAGTCTTTTCTTCTTGTGACACTTTACAAATTAAGAGTTTCACACACAAAACATATAAAGAGCCACTGAAATAAGATCCATGTGGTCCATCATCCACTTGTTATTTTCAAAATATGCTCCTTGACTCAAATATAAACACTTTTTTTGCACACTTTCTACTGGAGCACTGCATTGTGGTCATTTATATTTATGCTGCACACCAAACCTGCTCCGGAGCAGGTCGTGTTGAAAAAATAAATCGTATAAGGTGTATTAAAGAGCGTCTCTTAGGAAGTTTTCGGGACCATCCAAGCTATTTTCTTTCCTTGGCAATCATAGATAGAAGAGATACTGAGATTCTCAGTGGAGGGAACTCTACTCTTCCTTGCTTTATTTTTTTTTCTTGTTGACTGCAAGCAATTTCAAAGTAATTTTGTTGATTTATAGACCTTTTATAACATCATAACCCTAAATCAGAAACTGTTGAAGCGCTAAAGCCTTGTTCTTGTTGATCTAAGATTTGCAGTAAGCATACTTACCAGTTTGAAGGATGTTTTTATATTTGCTTTTTACTTGCTCCCAAGACCATTTAACACCACCAAGGTTGCAGCTGAAAGAAAATAAGACTAAAAGTGTCTTACACTCCATAAGAAGCGGCTACAGCTAAGCAACACATTTACCGAGTACACCATTCTGATTATGGTCAGATCTACTTGTGCTATTTGACATGCGCTGAGCATTCACCACCTATTCTTCATGGCTTCACCAACTATGTGGCTTTAAACCAGTGTTGTGTTTTTAGATTCCTCATGTTGGTTTAGGATTGAAGTTTGTTGTTCGTGTTAGAAATATCCAGCTCGAGACCTGACCATGTTTGTGATTGGTCATCTGGTGCCAACACGGAATCTTTTACGTGAACTCGCTCATATCTAAGTTATGGAACCTTGGTTTAATGCATAAAGTTTAGAGCCAGATTGGTGTGGCTGTTTTACGTGACTGTGGTTGTTTGGTTCAGTGACGCCAAATAACGAAATATACAAATTATGCTGAACTTCCTTTGTAGTAAAGGCCCCAGATGGCTGATTGCATAGTTCCAGCTCTAATATGAATCATGTGTTTCTATACGTTGAAGCATTTCTGATTTTCTTGACCTTCTTCCCATCCTCATCTCTCTGTCTGCCTGTTGCTAGGCGGAGGTGTGCGCAGGAACGGTTGCTGAGGTTATTCAGTCGGTGGTGAATGGAGCAGATGGCTGTGTCTTCTGCTTTGGACACTCCAAGCTGGGTAACACCCTCACACACACACACACACACACACACACACAGACACACACACTACAAAAACAGAGCACGTGTGGCTCGTGAGTCATCTTCATCGTGTGTGTGTCCGACCGTCAGTGTGTCGGTCCTTCACTCGGCCGTCTCTCCCCTGGTCCTCATCTATCAGGGAGAGAAAGAGGAGGATTAGTGTCTGCTGAAGCTGAAAGCTCTTCTTATTCTGCTCTGTCTGTGTTTCTGTCTTCCCTTTTCTCCCCCTCTAATCCTTCTGAAGCTGCTTTTTAGAGAAGCTGTCTCAAAAAGGGTCAGGACCCCTCACTGCACTCTGCAACACGTCTGAACCCCGACACGCACAAACAAAGCCGCACCACAGACGCACACACTCGATCTTGGGCTGCGGGTCGGACCCTGTTGTGTTTATCCCTGTACATTCAAGCAGCATTATCCTTTTTTGTTTTGTGATCTTCACTCATCCGGCTGCAGTTTCTCAGTCCCCCTGAACTGCTCGACAGAAGACAACAGCAGAGTTAAAATGCGTCAGTGCAGCAGGGAGTGACTCAGCCATTTAAACAGGGAGGAAATTTTATGTAAAACAAACCATTATTTTCTTAGTGTTATGCAGGAAATGTGTCCCTTCCTTATTTGTAAATTCATTATGAATTAATAACACTGTCCATGATCATTTGCTCCCATGCAGCTAATCATTTCAGGGATAATTATGTATTTTGTGTTTTTTTTCCCACAACTTAGGTGTTATTTTTGTTCGACTGCTGAGAATGGAGCAGTTGGGTTTGTTTTTATTGTGGTTGTTTTTGTGGGGCCTCTGGGAATATTTGTGACTTATATAATGGGGATCCAATAAAGAGATTAATAGTAAAGTCACACAATCAGACAAGCTCTAAAAAAGTTGACAGATTCACTAAAAATGAGATAATACCTCCAGTGATCAGGGGTTTGTGACAGACTATGAGCTACGTTCCCCATCTCCCTTTCTCCCCTTGTTTCCCATCATGTCTCTAATGTACACTCTATGTATGTATGTAGAAAAGCCAGACACTGTGCCCCATTCATAAACCAAAAAAACACCAAAACAAATAAAAGCTTTTCGGCCCTTTAGAGCAAAGTTGAGAGCATGCTCAGTAAGAACTTCATCTGGCTGAGCTGTCTGACTTCCTATTGGCTCCCTGCAGATATGAAAAGGATTAAATAATTCAGGCTTTTAAAATTTTATGGGACTGAATGTGTCAAATTGTGCAAATTTTGATTTTGAAAAAAAAAGAAAAGATTCATTGTGGCTCAGATGGAACAATTGCTGCACAGCCTGTCACTGTTCCTATAGGGACCCTGTACTCTAACCAATAATGAGGCATTAAAAAATCAATTAAGCGCACCCTAATGCTGGTTGTAATCCCTCTTTACACAGGAAAGCCATGAATGCACACAACCACTACAAGCCCGGGGAAAAGAACGATACAATGTGGAATATAAAAACAAGACCTAGCCTGTAATAAACGGGTCCTTTAGGTTTTACATATTCAACCAGGGTACTGCAGAGTGGGCCAGGAGCAGAAGCTGTCCACCACTTCACCCTAATAGGTACACGTAGGACTGATCAAACAACCAGATGCACATTTAATCACCACAGCGTCCCAGGACACAAAGCACACATGGCGCACGGCACACATCACACGACCTGTCTCCATCCATGTTTTGCATTTCGTCATGTTTACATGTTTTCACTCAGCTGCTGAATATTGACACATGAAAACACAGACTGTGTCATGAGTCACAGTGATGACTCATCCCATCTAACGTGACAGTGACTGGAGCTGGTATCTCTAACATGCCTTCTTATTGCCAGAGCTTGATTGTGTTAATGGTACCGCAAGACTTTAACATGATTTAAAGAGCAAACTCTCTTTGATGGATTTCTTATTCAGTTTTATCGGTATATTAATGCTATGACCTTGCTTGTTTCAGCTCAAATGGCTCCTGCTGCTGCTCCTGCAGCAGATGTGATAATTCTTTGTGATCTGGCTCACCTAAGGCCATGGATCTTAATGAGGCTGCATTATAATGGCATTACCTTTTTTCTAATTAAAATGGGGATAGTAACACAACGAGCATTTATCTTCGGCTCTGTGGCCCTTGGCTGTAGACACATATGGGGGAGTCAGACGCAGACGAATCTACTCGTGAACACACTCGTGCACATTTTCACAATGAGCAAAAAGGTTTTCACCGAAAAATTAAATAAAGTCCAAATGATCCCATAATAAATAGAGAAACTTCAGGAATGTAAATGAATCCTTATATCTAAGGGATTTGGTCATACAGATTAGATTATTGGCCTTGTGTGGATCACCTGGGAGTAATGATGAGTGTGTGTGTGTCTGTATAAACCCATGTGTGCATATCTTTAAACCTATAATACAGGGCTGTCTTGTTCTCACACCTTTTCACCCTGTTCATTTTCTCTCTGACAGCATCGATATCTTGGCTTGATGAGACCAATTACCGGGAATACACGTCAACTACACAGACATGGACACACACACACACACACACTGCTGTACTGCCTGTAGTGTGTCGTCACTGTGTTGCAGGGTTGTGTTAGTCAGTGGAGCAGTCAGCTAGATGACCATGACTTGACAGCCTGCAGTAGTCAGAGCAGAAGAAAACATGGTAGAGCCACAGATGTATTCACACACAGGCCTGAACAGGAAGCAGGAGAAAGGAGGGCTGTTGAGTTGTGGTTGTGGTTCTACATTGAGCCATTACGACTGAGAGAATCCATCTGATTTGTTAAATGAAAAGAAATTAACTGGTAAATTAAAGTAAATGGTCCAGTGTTTGTTTTAAAGATCTTCTTTTTAGAAATCTGATTTCAACATTTAATTAGCAGCACTTTGGCTTTATTTTAAAGAGTCTGAGCTTTGTGGTTTCATTTCAGCACCATAGAAACTATCATAGAAGCTTTTCAGTCACTAAATATGATCCTTTTTTTGCGTCTTCACTGTCTGCTCTAGTTTTTAGAACATTTAGCGATAAATCACGGAACGCATCTTTGGTTTGGCTCCAAGTCTAGACGCTCCAGGAAACCTTAAAGGAAGAACAATGTACAGCTACACTGCAGCTGACAACCTTCCCTCCGTCCTTTCTCAGAACAAATCAGACGCTTTTCTCCGCTCTGCATCACAGGAGTCAGGCGTTTGATGTCGTGTAAGTGCTCGTGTCGGCGTGATTGCTGGGTGTGGCATATGGCTTTGTTTAGGTGTGTGTTTGATCTCTAACTTCTGACAGACAGAGCAGGTGTGGGATAATCATCATCTTGTGACTGAAAGGGGCACCCAGGGGCCTCACGCATGTTCACAGACACAGACACATCTATTCTTAGGTTTTTTCTTTTTTTTCTGGGAGTGTGTTTTTGATGAAGCTCTTTTTGATAGATTTCCATCTTTTTTTTTGTTTGCTCTTCCTCTGTTTTGTCTGTCTGTCTCTGTCATCCAGGTAAATCCTACACAATGATTGGCCGGGACGACTCTCTCCAGACTCTGGGTATAATCCCCTGCGCTATCTCCTGGCTCTTTAAGCTCATCAATGAGAGGAAGGAGAAAACAGGAGCGCGCTTCTCTGTTCGCGTCTCTGCCGTCGAGGTCAGTGTGAAAGATGAAACCTCGATTTGAAATGTTCACCACAGAGTCAAAACGTGTGCCATCACTGATGCAGACATCTGACAAAAGAGGCGACTGACAGTCTCTTTTCCAAATCATTGTGGCACTGGCTGTTGTACTGACCGTGATATCTGACATCAGTGTCCTGTAACTCTTGTTGATTTGACACCATAGTCCAGGTGATATGGTCACTTTTTCATAAAAGCATGAACCTTGCTACACTTGTACACTTCAGGGCCCTGAACATTTTCAGAAAACCCCTTTTGTTGGCCCTTATACTAAACATGATAGCACAGAAACACACAGAAAAGCTGATGTCTGCCCATATGCTTTGATGTTCAAGGAATAGAGTGATGCCGTATACAACAACATAAACTGTTGAAGTGAATTGTTATTATGAGTTCAGAGACACTGTGAGAAGGGAAAACACAGTATCTGAGAGCCTATAGCATGTCTTTAGAGTTATGGAGGATTTTCAAAGCTTAATGATTCTGTTCATTAAATGTGACCAAAGACTGATTGTAAAGAATACAACAAAATTCTTATCCTAATATAAATCTGTTAAACACAAAGACTAACTCTCTGAACCTTGAAACCCACCAGCAGCTCTTAAAGCAGGGGTGTGCAATCCTGGTCCTCGAGGGCCACAATCCTGCATGTTTTAGATGTTTCCCACCTGATTCACATGATCAGGATCGTTATCAGGCTTCTGCAGAGCTTGATGATGAGCTGATCATTTGAATCAGGTGTGTTGGAAGAGAGAAACATCTCAAACATGCAGGACTGTGGCCCTCGAGGACCAGGATTGCCCACCCCTGTCTTAAAGGCATGTTGTCACAAACTATACTGTAAGAGCAGAGAGAATCATACAAATTAGATTTTCTGGCAGTCCTTGAACTGCTTGTCTGTGATGTGGCGTTTCTTTGTTAAACTTAATCAAATCTAAGATTTTTCAGAATTCAAATCTTGATATTCCATCAAAATCTGTTTATTTAAATATCCCCTCCCCCCAAACTAAATTGTTGCTCTCACCAAATTATACAAAAACCAAAAAAAACGGAGCTCTTCAATGCGACTGCGAAGCCATCAGTGACTCAGCTGTATCATACAACAAAACTTCAGGGACTATTCAGCTGAACTGCAGACTGAGTTTGCACAAAGCAGATAAGAGACAAGTACAGAAAGAAACTCAAGATGCAGTTTGACAATAGCAAAATGTCTACAGCATGCAGAGTTAACATTTAAAAACAAATTTTTTTTGCAGCATTAGTAACATCTGTGGGCGTTTGGATAAATACCGTGCATATATGCATTTCAGGTTTTCTCACTTTTTGTAAAATAAACAATCAAAGGGATTAAACTTTTGTTTTGTTGTTTGGGGGCTTTTTATGATTTACAATTGTGCTGTGCTGCACAAAATACTTTTTTTTAGTTCTCTATGGTTGTGCTGTTTCCATAGAGGTGCAGGACTTTATATTGCACAGAAAAATGTGACAGAAGCAAGAAATTGGTTTGGATTCAGGGGGTTGGCTTTAAAAAATGTATTTCAGATGCTGCACTTGATAGAACCGCTTTCTTTCTTTCTTTCTTTCTTTCTTTCTTTCTTTCTTTCTTTCTTTCTTTCTTTCTTTCTTTCTTTCTTTCTTTCTTTCTGTTAAAAATGTATTAAAGGCTACATTTTCAAATAAGGTCATAGATCAGTTTGGAGAAAAGAAAAGTCTGAAGGAAACTAAAATGAGACGATTACTTCTGGTCATTGTATGTATGTGTGTAGGTTTGGGGAAAAGAGGAGAACCTGAAGGACCTGCTGTCTGAAGTGGCTACAGGAAGTTTACAAGATGGACAGTCACCTGGAGTCTACCTGTGTGAGGACCCTATCTGTGGCATGCAGGTACACACACACACACACACACACACACACACACACACTGCAGCTGACAGTGCCATTAGCTGGACAATTCACATTTTTAATTTCATCTGATTTTAGCTCGTCTTGTTTTAGTTGATTCGTTCATTTTTAAAACTTAAATGCCTCCAATAATGTGTTAATATTTTACTTACTTTGTCTTTTTAATATTTTATTGCTGTCTAACATCGTTACTTGTGTGAAGACATCTTTTATCGTCTTGCTCGTTGTAAATGAGGCCTTCATACCACACGGCATGTAAATAAAGCTGGAATGAATAAATGAGTTTATGTAACTTGGCTGCTGTAGATTCAGTTATGTGAGTGTGTGTATGAACAGCCTCGGGCCTTGCATCAATACGCTTCACCTTTGTTCTTCTTCGCCTCGGGCACTTCTCTGTTGTTTTAGCTACTGAGGCACGCTTGCACACACACACAAGCACTCACCTTGAATACAGTACAATGTACCGTGCAGGTTTAGTATGCGGTTAGACTCCTTTTATCCCAAAAAGCATAAGGGTTTAGAAATAATTGGCTGATTAATTCACCTGTAGGTCCTGCTTTTGACTGCCTGAGCCAAAGGACAAACAGAAATGAAACAGACTTGACATGAACAGAAGTGGCGAAATAACTCTCAAATGACCTTTTATTTATTCAAGCTTTCGTTGTTTTATAAGTGACTTTTATGTTTACTAATTGACGAGCAAGATTCAGAAGACAAAGGTGCAGACTACATGACATTAACTCTAATCCAATCAGAACTGTGACCACCATGATTCATTTTCAGGTAAGTACACAGCAGTAATCTGAATTTTATTTGTATGTCGAAAAATGCCAAAAACAACTGAGTGACAGTGGAGGAGCCGCAGTCTGTGTGTGACTGCAGTTATATGTTTATAGGATTAGAGGGTCTGATACAAGCACATCTGTGTAATCCTTAACTAATCTGACATAATCTCATCAGTAATGATATCCTGCAGTGCCACACACACACATCGTCTCTCTCTGCTTCCCTCTGCCTCTTTCTGACATACCTGCAGGCAAATGCTCTATTAGAATATGCCAGTCAGTCCCCTACATGCTGAATCCTCACAGTACACACTATTATCAGTGTTTGGGCACTTTTTTGGTCGGTAAACCGAGTCCCTCGAGCTAAGACGAAGCGGCGCCTTCCCTCCTGTCTGGCTGTCTGTCCTCTGGCCACTCACTGCTGCTTCCTTATCGCGTCTATAGAAGTGCAATAATCACTCACTATTTATTTTATTTTTTCTCTCTTCCGCACATTTTGCAGCTCCAGAACCAGTCTGAACTTCGTGCTCCGACACCAGAGAAGGCGGCCTGGTTCCTGGATGCAGCCATCGCAGCTCGCCACAGTAGCCAACGCCCCAACACCACAGAGGAGGAACACAGGAATTCACATATGCTGTTTACGTTACACATATACCAGTATCGTATGGAAAAGACAGGAAAAGGAGGGAGTAAGTACTGTTTACTCCAACGCTGTAATTGCTGCCGTCGCTGTTATTACTGATGCTACTTTCTCTAATTATTATCAACAACTAGACATCACAGCAACAGTTGCAGAAGGTATTACAGCTGCTGCAGATACTCCACTACTATCACTATTATTATTATAATATCACAAAATATCTGATAACAGTTGTATAAAAGGAAACACAAATATGTTGTTTTCTATCAATGTATTTGTAGGATTTATTTTTATATGCTATGTGCAAATTAATCCATGTATACATTCTGTTGCACAAATACTAATCGCTCATTGCACGATCCTACATGTATTCTGTTTTTTATTAATGCCATCTGTCCATAAAAATAAGTTAGTCACAGTGCAGGAGAAGCAGCGAGCAGCTGTGTGTTTGACAAAGAGAGACTGTGACAGATGTCGGACCAGAGTATCACTGATAATAGCTACTTTCAGCGCACTCATGGGTGTGTGAGAGAAACAGGCAGAAACGAGTGTTTATCTTAGAAAGAGACAGAGATAGCACATGCAGGCATGTGAATATTTAAGGAGGACGTAAACAGCTGATGTGAAAGCACACACTGTTTGTCTTTAGTTAATCTATGCAAACGTACTGCTCCAGATGCTGTGTTATATATTGATAATATATTGACTACTGACATTACTGCATTAATGAATATAAGCTGGGAAATCTATCAGCTGTTTAGCCTCGTTCTCTTACATCCACAACCTTCATCGTCTTCTCTCTGTCCTTCTACATTCTTGACCCACATCTTCTCTTCTCCTAGTGTCAGGAGGACGCAGCCGCCTCCATCTGCTGGACCTGGGCAGCTGTGATGTTAAAGTACTCGGAGGTGGAGGTGGTGGGAAGAGCAGGGAGAACTCCTCACCCAGCTCGGCCCCTCTGTGCCTCTCCCTGTCTGCCCTCGGCAACGTGATCCTGGCCCTGGTCAACGGGAGCAAACACATCCCATACAAGTAGGTTGGTGTGACTGTGGGAGAGGAGGAGGGGAGGAGAGGAGAGGAGAGAGGAGAGGAGAGGAGAGGAGAGGAGAGGAGAGGAGAGGAGAGGAGAGGAGAGAGGAGAGGAGAGGAGAGGAGAGTGAATATGTGCTAAGATGCTTTGATTAAAGGAGCAGAAATTGAAGCAGAAATTGAAGAGGGGGATATGAGAGGCCAAATTAGCAATTGGGTGAAAGAAATGAGGAGAGGAGTGAGGAGAAGATTGAGAAGGAGAGCAGGATGTTTTGGCGCTGGAGGAGAAGAGGAAAGGAAGGCAGATTTCTTAAGGTGCTTTCGGTTTGGGGGACTCAGCGTTATAAACAACAACAGCTGCTGTTACATATTCATCACATTCATTTTGCTGGTTAAGTGACTGGCAATGAGAGCAAAGGGGAGAGAGAGAGAGAGAGAGAGGGAGGAAGAGAAGGAGAGATAACAGAGTCAGAGACTGTAGCCAGAGGTAATCAGGTGAATAAAAATGCATAGAATGGTTTAAAAAAGATATATATAAAAAATCATAATTGCTGTAGTGACATGTAGTCCGCTCAGTGTACAGTACATCAGATTGTTAATGTCCTCCTTTTACTTATCTGTCCTCTGATTCCTCTTTGCTTCCCTCCCTTCTTCTCACTCTTCCCTTCTCCTTAAGTGCAGCTCTGTGCTTCTCGCTGGGTTAATTTAATCACCAGCTCTTGCATTTACATTGCAAAACAACCTTCGACTTAGCAGTGAAGCTGTAAGCAAAGCTTTGCTGAGTCTGGTTTGGCGTTGGTGACTCAGGCTGTGTGATGGGATTGGACTGGTTTAACAATCAATGCTGTGTCTCTGCCACTGCTCCGTAACCAACTACTAAACGCAAGTCTGGGACTGTTGAAAACTCCACTGATAGAGTGGGTCGCTGCAGGACTGCTGCAAAAAAAAACAACAAAAAAGTGTGTGTGTGCTTTAGGGCAGCTGCTCCATTTTCTGCAGAAAAGAAAGATGATCAGTGTTGTCATACAAATATTTGAAGATATTTATGTGCCTTTGTTGTGTATTCGCCGTGACTGCAGTGTTTGCATGAAGGCTAACCAATTTAGAATAATGAGTGAACTTTCCCAAGCCAGACAAAGATTATATGCTATTCTATTCCATGCCATTCTATTCTATTCCATTGTATTGTATTGTATTGTATTGTATTCTATTCTATTCTATTCTATTCTATTCTATTCTATTCTATGCTATTCTATTCTATTCTATTCTATTCTATGCTATTCTACTCTACTCTACCAACATTGAATAATTGCACCGTTGTCTAATTAGCACCAAATCAAATCAGATCAAGGTTATTGTCATTTTGCTGTACATACACAGTAGTACAGGCAAGATGAAAGAGCTTTTTTTCAGGATCCAATAACTTTAAACAATTTAAATAAAGACGTGTTTGCATGTCTGGATCAGCAGTCCAGTATACTGACAGCTTGCGGAATGAAGCTGTTGATCATTTTTTGATTTTTTTTTCCTTTAATGCTTTGGAAATGTTTGCCTGATGGCAGCAGTTCAAACAGTTTATGGAGAGGGTGTGAGGAGTCCCTGACAATGTTCAGTCTCCTGCTCTGGAAAAGTTCTTGGACAGAGGTGAGGGAAACTCCGATGACCCTCTCCGCTCAAAAAGACAAAGCGCTAAAGCTGTTGGAAGTCTCATGAGTTTTGAAAGCATTGGATCATAAATCAAAATCATAACACAATGGACAAATTATAATTTCAGAAATGGTTTAGGTTGCTTTGTATAAGTTTAGTATTATTGATTTGTATTATTCATCATTTAGGGAAAGTCACGGAAGTCTAAAATGTGACTTCAATCAATCTAGTCGAAGGAAGTGTGACAGTGTTGATGTGCTGGTAACGCTACAGGAAAAGTCAAGTGATCACCAAAGACCACAATGGGGCACAATGAACCTATGGAGCAAATTCATGTCAATCTGTTTAATAGTTGCAGGGAATTTTACCCAAAGAACAAAATTGTAGAGCTCATGTCAGTGCCAGAGGAAAATGTAGGTGTTTGCAGAAGTCATCAGCTGGTTTCATCATCTGGAGATCATGAATGTCTGCACAGAATGATGTGGTGATACGTCCAACCTGAACCACAGCGATGGATAAACCAAATGACCGATCACTTTTGCCATCTGCAAACCAAAGCAACCACACAGCCAACACCTGGACTGTGGTGTGACAATGTTGGAAAAATGTGTTCAAATTCAGGTTGAGTCGTGGGACTCTGCTCATTTTCTTTCATCACAGTTGCTGAGCTGCTCTTGCAATGCTTCACTGCTCTCAGGATAGGGTCCCATCCTGTTCTCATAATCCCAGTCCTGTGCCTGTACTGTTGCTAGGTAACCAGTGAATCTATTGTTGATCTCTATACTTCTGGACTTTTGCGTTTATAGCTCCCCGGTTCAAGAAAAGAAGCAGCCACAAAACCCACAGTTGGGCTTTTGCAAGATTTCAAGCATCTCGGTGCAATCCCAAGCAGCCATTCACTATACATGAATCTTTCTCACCGAGGACTCCGCACAGCTCCTTGTCCAAAATCAGACCACTTCCCAACTGGTCTGCCATATTTCTCTTTTGGCAATGTCCTTATTGAATCATAAAGCACCAAGATTTTCTCTAAACACGGCCAATTTTTCCCCTCACTAGTGCCTACTTTGACAATTGCAGCCCTCAATATTAGCAAAATAAGCTTTGCTCCAAATTTGAGCGCACTCCAGAAATGTCTGGACTAATTTATTAACTCAGTCGAGTGCAAATCTGTGAGTGAATGAGTTTCACACTGTTTCTTCTGGAGGCTCACGATTGAGATCGTGGAGTTACGACGACAGAGAGCACGATGTTACGTATACATTTGTCCTCCCTGGTAAAACTCAGGCAATAAATCTAGCACAGGCTGAAAGGTAAGATCTAATCCAACATCCCCTGCACTTGAATTAACATCCAAATGAATACTTCATGAGTCATGAGTTCACCTACATTAATCTGATGCGGAGCGAGAGAGATGCACCGAGGAAGAGAGAGGAGGTTTGCTGAAGCCCGAGGCGGCAAACTGAGAAAGAAGAAAAGAAAGGAAGAGAGCAGCGATGAAAAAGAGGAGGTCAAGATAGGAGTGTGTACATACTTTGTCTCCTTTTGTGTGCACATGTGAATGTACACATATGTGTGTGTTTGAGATTTGACTGCAGGCTGTGTTTTTAGAAAAGGGGGACAGCAGCGTGAGGTATCGGGCCACAGAGGAGCTGTACTCACTGTCAGCCTGCAGGCCTCGGCACACACACACACACACACACACACACACACACACACACACACGTATACACAAAAGGCTATGAATGATTGCAGTAGCCCACCCAGGAGAAAGTCTTTTCTTAAACACACAGCCTAGTTTTACTCTCCCATCTGCTGGTATAATCTCTCTGGGAGAGAGACCATCTCCCAATATTAGGCTTCATGATATCAAGACTGCTTCTGTTAAGACTTTGTGAGCTTTATAGTGAAATAGAAACCTTTTGTTTCCTTAATTAACTGACCATTATTTTTGCCTGTTTCATCTCTTGGCTTCTTTTCTGGGACTACATCAGCCTGGTGTGGTATTTTTGCATGGACTTCTCGCATGTTCGCTGATCAAGACGAGCTATTAATAATCCCTTGACGAATGTCAGACGTATGTGGGCGTCTGGTAGAAAATCGACCAGTTTTGTCACATATTTAGGCGACCGTGTGCGTTTCCAGCGCGTCTGTAGTGCTCACATCTCGGTGTATGTGTGTAACCAGGGACAGCAAGCTGACCATGTTGCTAAGGGAGTCGCTAGGCAACATGAACTGCCGGACCACCATGATTGCTCACATCTCTGCCTCACCCAGAGATTTCTCAGAAACCCTCTCCACCATCCAGATTGCTTCCCGGGTCCTCCGCATGAAAAAGAAGAAAACTAAAGTGACTGTGGTGAGTTTTAATCAAACCTTGATGCTTCATTAAAATTGAGAGATCATTTCTCTTAGTTGCATAAAACTTTAGGTGCATTAATGTCCAGATAAAGACGACTAGTAATATATACCTTAAACAGATGGGTACAGATCTCACCTGTTCTACTGCTAATCAGCGACAGTGTCAGTCTCATGACAGTATTATCATGTTATGCATCCTGCTCATAGGCTGCTCTTGGCGTTGGTGCTGCATAATATTTTATTTTCTGTAGCTTATCTGAAAATCTTGTATGGACGTTGAATGATGTCTAGTTTTGTGCCAAGTTAATTTAAAAGACATCATACAATTCATCACCTTGTCTCCTTTTACTGCTGCCACCATCTCTCACTTATTACTTCTTTTGCTCACTTATTTCAAAATTGTTCAGCACAAGAGGAAGGTGGGTGACCTGAGGGCTTCAGAGCTCGAACAATGAGGCTCCTAGAAAAGAAATCTGACGCCATGAGATACTGTAAAGTGGCAGTGTGTGGGAGAAAGAGGAATAAATGAATTAAATGAAATTACATTAAAGTTCTGATCTTAAAGCTGGTGGGTTACTTGTCTCCGATCTGTATTCTCTGTCTTTCCTTTCATCTCTACTGTGAATTGTCAATTAAATGTTAAAATGTCTGAAAAAAAAAAAAATCACACTCCACAAATCTAAAATAAGAATCTTTTTTTTCTCACCGCTCTTCTCTGCCTCCACTTTTCTCGTCATCCAATCTTGTCTCAGCAATACACCTCCAGCTCCTCGGGAGGAGAAAGCTCCTGCGAGGAGGGTCGCATGCGCCGCCCGACCCACCTGAGGCCTTTCCATCACCGTGGCGACACCGACTCCGACCTCCCGTTGCTGCGACTGTCCAGTGACCCCGACGAGTACTCCAGCAGCGAGCAGTCATGTGACACCGTGATCTACGTGGGCCCGAATGGAGCCGCCGTGTCTGACAGAGAGCTGACGGACAATGAGGGACCGCCAGAGTTTGTACCGATTATTCCTGTTTTGCTTCGAGGAAAAACGTCAGAGCAGCATCAAGCACAAAGTCAAAGTCAGGCAGCGGGAGCCCAGAACAAGGTGGTTTAAAGACGTTTACATTAGGAGTTTAGACAATTAGCAGTAATTATAAGAATGGTCAGTGTTAAGACACATCAGATGACTTACTTCTCGTGGTTCTTGCGGCAGGTGCAGTCTCAGCCGGACGAACAGCCCAGTGGCCCCTCTCAGCCTCAGCCCTCTCAGTCACTACTCGGTCAGCCGTTGGCCCCCGTCCCAGAGGAAGGAGCTGAGTGCTTGAAGTGCAACACTTTTGCTGAGCTGCAGGAGAGACTGGACTGCATTGATGGCAGTGAGGAGGTGAGTGCTGTTTCTGTCTTTTGTTTTTATCATCATTATGCAATAAAAACCAAAAGCCATACATATACGCAAGAAGGCAATCTAGATGAAGTTGCAAAAGTCAAATTGTTCTGTTCGTGTGATGGCTTCTGTAATTTGTGGTATATTGAAAGTTTGACCGACAAGTTGGACACTTTATCTATTTAAATGTAAAATAGGTTTTGTTTGTTTCTACTTAGTATAATCTGCCTGTAACACTTTCTGCTGCTGTCACAGTTTCTGCTTGTGATGGCAACTTTTTGTAAGATTGCTTTAAATTGTGTTACAAAACATATATTCAGTCTGACCCAATTCCCTATTTTGAATGAATTTTGTTGCATCTATTTAGTGCAGGCTTTTATTTTGTTAACAGCTCAAGCAGGCTTTTTATTGGCATCAATGAACTCTCAAAGAATCTTGAATAAGTGAAGAGTATTTACTTTAACAGTCAGATCCAGCCATCTCACATACAGTACGTTGCTCTTTTTTTTTTTTTATTGATCACTCTGTTGTTGCAGGTGGCAAAGTTTCCTTTTGAGGAGGTTCCAGCAAACAAACAAGGGGCCAAACAAGAGCCATGTCCATCTTCATCAGCTCCGACCTCTGCCCCCGGCCCTGCAGCTGTGTTGGATACAGAAGCCAAAACAGGTAAAGGCTTTAATTCATTTATTGCATGTGCTGTATGATGTGCCATGTCTTATACTTGGGAAACCAAACAAGTTGCTGCTGTAGTTCTATAATTTAGCATCAAATCAACCATGTTTCTCTTTTGACTGTTCTTCTAACTGAACTTTGGTTCCCATCTTGGAAAACTCTGTTTGGTCCAACATCTCCAGGTTCTGCCTGCGCTGTAGGAGGAGCAGTGCAGGTCTCATCCTCTCCAGCAGCAGCATCCAGGAGGAGGACCAATGACCAGCAGCTGCAGGACATCAAGGAGGTGGTGGAGGAGGCAGAGCTGGCCCAGACCATGATCCACAGCCTGACTCAGAGTTCTGGATGCCCCATAGTTACTAGTACCAGGAGTGTTACCGGCAGCAGCAGCATCACCTCTAACCCCCTGCACCGAGCTAAGAGCTCCCACTTACATGACAGGTGAAGACGAGTGGCATTCTATGCAGAAAAAGAAAAAAACTGTGACTTTAATTTAAGCACTCTTTTCATAAGGGTTCCTATTGGCCTTTGAGAAATATACTACTTTAACCGGTAAGACGTCTCCTTTGCTGCTTCTCTGTACAGCCGTGAGAATCTGAATGTGGTGGGCAGTAACGCTGACGGGAAGGCACGTCCTCTAGGATCACCGCGCCTCGGCATCGCCAGCCTGACCAAAACCTCAGAGTACAGGTGAAGCACACAGTACAGACAAGAATGCTGACTGTGGACATCTTCATTTCTTCTGGTTTGAATGAAAACATGATTGGAAAGATGTCAAGTAGTGTCCTATGATTTACATGTGCTGATACTGAACTACCTGGATGTGTAAGAAGACCGGATCACCAACGATTTGTCTCCATCATGATCTTTGTATTTCTTTAAATTCCAGACCTCCATCTTCCCCATCTCAGCGGTGTAAAGTGTACACGCAGAAAGGTGTGATGCCGGCAACGCCTCCTCTGTCCTCGTACACTCTGGCTCAGGACGGCCAGGCCACAGAAGCTTTGACCTCAGACAGTATGCATCTTTTACATGTTTATGTTAACTTATAAATCTCTTTCCTTCTTGAAGTTCATTTTCTCAGTTTGAATGAACCCCTTCAGTGTGTATTCTCTTTTGAAAATTTAATTTAAGGACCTAAATAGTTCCCGTCTACTACAGCCACTAGTGAATGAATCCATAAGTTAGACATCATTTACATGATTCGTACATTTTTTCAGTTAGATATGATTTGGTTATCTTTTAGCTTACGTGGTTTTTCCTCCTAAAATTAAGCACAGACACAGTATAGGCCACCAATGTTCACCTTGAACTCACATCAATTAAGTAATTAGTTGATTTTGTTCCTCTGTTTAGTGTTTTCTGTGAAGATTCTCAGTCATCCAGGTCATGGTTATTCTCATAGTTTAATCATAGCAACTGGACTTGCTTGAGTTCCTTGAAGACGTTTCACCTCTCACCCAAGAGGCTTCATCAGTTCTGGCTGACTAGTTGGGAGTTCCACATACTTATATTCTTCAAGCGCCATTTGAAACTCAAGTGTTCCCAAAGGATTTAAGTATCTGGAACTCCCAACTAGTCAGTCAGAACTGATGAAGCCTCTTGGATGAAACGTCTTCAAGAAACTCAAGCAAGTCCAGATGCTACAATTACACTACGAGGACACTCTGTTTAGTGTTGTACACATTTAGATAAAGACCACAAATAAATTTACACATTGTCTTGTTTATAGTGACAATGTCCAATACTGTTGCTGAGCGAAGTAGAAATTCAAACCTATTTTTTGTATTTATTATTGAATAATGTGTGAACAGCCTGTTACTGGAAGGCCTTGCACTCATCGTTTTATTCATTAAGTGTGAATCACCTCTTAGGTAATGTTGCTGCAGTTTTATATATTCTGAAGGCGTGTTAAACATAGTCGCATACCGAGACACCTGAGCATAACGCAGTTTATCTAAGAACCAGTGGTTTGAATTTGGCATTGTGTTTGTGAAGCCTATTTCCCAAATTACCAGCGTACCAGTGGGTGTTTGTATTATTCTGCACTTGGAAAACAAAGTTAATTACAATGCCAAACGTGTGTTTGTGATTCTGCAGACAGTTTGGCAGCAGACAGTGGCCGTTCCTCCACAGACTCCCTGCTGTCCAGGACTTCTCCTGCGGGCATGAGCCCACAAGTTCGAGAGCCAACTCCATCTCTGTCTGCCAGCCTGGGCTCGGCCGAGACCCTCTGTGACGACGACGTACCACCGATACCGTTGGATACGCATAAAGATGGTGAGTTACAGGAAGCTTAATCATAATATACATGTAATCGCAATGAACATGAGATGGAAAACTGTGGTAACTCACTTTTCTCACTCTGCCACTTGCAGCCACAGGACCGGCAGCGTCTGCAGGAACAGGCGGTCCTGTCCTGCTTGGGGAGGATGAGCTGGTTTACAGTGTGGTTGCTGGAGGCGAGGAGCACCTTGATGTCGCAGCTCTCACGGAGGCTCAGGATTTGGTCTGTCGTCCGACGAGCATCATCAGCTTCAGCAGCGACTGTGGCTCCGCAGTTGCCCTCGTTTCATCTCAACCCGTCAGCATTATCAGCGGCGCGGCTTCAGATGGAGCTCTGGAGGATTATCCAATTCCTGCAACCACTTCAGGAGTTACAGAGGTGGTTGCCATGGCAGAGGTTAGTGTGAATGTCTTGCTTTGCATTTGATTCAAATCCTTTAAAGCAGAGCAGCTTAATTTTATTCCATTGTCTTTTGGGTTTCAAGGTGTTGTACCCAGCTGTGTTGCTCTGTGTTGCAGGTGGCAATGGCCAAGCTGCGGATAGAAGGTGAAGCCTTAGCAACAGGGATGTCCAACTGTGGTTCACCCATCTCCTCCTGGATGAGTGATCTGAGCATGGGCAGTGAAGCTGATCAGTCTCTCCACAGCTTCAGTCAGTCCCAGAGCCAGCAAGGGGAGGCACTGGCTGATCCTGAACCCAACCAGAGCTTTGGAGTCGAGGGTTATGAGAGCCCCAGAAGAGGGAGTCTGGACGGAGAGCTGGTGCTGTCAGAGAACCTGAGTGACAAAGGTACTCCGACCAAAGACAGGCTGAGAAAGCTGCCTCCCTCTATGGCTAAAACCAACATCCAAATTCTGGCTGGACCTGGTAACATCTCTCCCTTCAAGAGCACCGTCAGCGCTCATCCTTGTATGGCCGTCAAACCCATGGTCATACAGGAACCCACCATCCTCTCCTCACCTACGAAGACCAGCCTAATGAAAGACCCAGTCAAATCCAATGCAGCACTTTTAGCTTCTATTTCCAGCGAGATGAGCTTTGAAGACCCCTGGTTGAAACGTGGCACTGAGGAGGGAAGGTGCAGGGAGCTAGTGTGTGAAGTGAAGCCAGAGAAGAGGGAGGCCGAGCACTTAAAGAGCCACGCAGGAGAGAAGGCCGGAGCTGGAAGTGGAGACTATCGGAGCTCCTGCAGGGATGGTAAGAAACAGTGAAGAGGTGGTTTCAAAGTGAAACATTTCATATTTGTGATTGTTCTTATCTCATAGTCTTTGTTATTCCTCCGTCACCAGGTGGGGATCATGGCAGCTCCAGTTCAGGCGGAGAGGTGGTGTCATCTCCAGACTCCTTTAAACGAGTGGTGGATGGCTGTGAGATGGTCGCTGTTGTTGTTCAGGGTGAATGCCTGACCAGCATCTACAGCTCAGATATCCACCGCACAGCCAGTCTGCCCCGCGGGTGGCACCGTCTCAACCGCCACGACGGCTTAGACAACGGAGTCGAGTACCGCAATCTCGGCGTCACCACTTCAACTCCCTGCAGTCCCCGCGCCACACTAGACCGCTGGGGTTCGAATGGAAAACAGGGTTTCTTCTCCCACAAGAAGGGGGGAATCCCACCTCTGCCCCCGGTGCGAAAGTCCAGCCTCGACCAGCGAAACAGGGCAGCCAGCCCTCTCCACCAACCCGGCCATGGAGGGTCATCACTGGGCGGCTCAACAGATGATTCAGGAGTATCAGCATGTGGCTCTGCCGGAGCCACCAGGCAACGAGGCTCCAGCATAGACAGCAGCAGGCTGTTCAGCGCCAAGTTGGAACAGCTTGCCAACAGAACCAACTCTCTGGGTCGAGTCCACAGCTCGCACAGTGGTTCTCACCATTACGACTGCTTCTCCCTGGAGAGAGGCGAGAGCCTCAGAGGGGGAGGAGGGGTGAGGGGGGACAGCACCATGCCTCGCACCGGACGCAGCCTCACCCGTGCTGGATCAGTGTCTTCTCCCACTGGAAACAACGGCAGCCTCGGTTCCAATGGCAGTTCCAGTCCAAGCAGCGCTCCTCAGTCACCAGCCAAGTCCAGCGGCCAGTCAAAGATCTCAGCGGTCAGTAAGCTGCTGATGACCAGCAGTCCTAAAGCCAGGAGTCTGTCCGCCTCCAGCACCAAGACTCTGAGCTTCTCTACCAAATCTTTAAGCCAAGCTACCAGCCGCAGCTCCAGCCTTCCTCCCAATGGAAAGGTAGGATGGAATGTTTCTTTGAACACATTTTTACTTCAGTTTTACATGAGAAACATTAAAAACTACATGCAAGTACTTAAAGCTGTCATAGCCTCTATTTGTTCTGCCATCCTCTTAAACCATTTACTTGTCTGATAAGCCTCAGAATTCAGTCCAGGGCCCTCTGCAGCAGCAGCAGCAGCAGCAGCAGCAGCAGCAGGGACCGTCCCCTGGATCCTGGTCCACACAGTCTCTGAGCCGCAGTCGAGGGGGAAGCCTGACTGCCAAGCTGCCTCTGCGAGCTGTCAACGGTCGAATCTCAGAGCTCCTCCAGGGAAGTGCAGGCTCCCGTTCCAGGAGTCACTCCCAGGGAGGAGGCACAGATCCAGCAGAGGAAAGAGGAGCTGGAGGGGCAAGGTTAGCTAGTGCTGCTTTATTTTATTTTACATTTGTAACATTTGGAAGTTCCTAAGCAAAGAAATTTACACTAAATACAAGATTTATTGAGCTCTTAATATAAATTGCATGATAAAGTTCATGTTTTATGTAAGAATAGCATTAGTGATGAAGCTGGTATAATAATTTTAAAAGTATTTTGGGGTCCTGATAATAATAAGCTGCAAAACCTGTGAGGCAAAATGTCAATGGACATGCATTCAGAAAACAATGTGCTTCGAGGTAAACTCCTGTATCATGTCTGAACTCTTCCTTTCTTCTTGTTCTCAGTGGAGGGGCAGCTGGAGCAGGAGGTGGTGGAGGAGACAGCCTGGGAGAGGAGAGGGCAGCCGTGGTACAAACTCTGCCTTCTCCTTACAGCAAGATCACAGCCCCCAGAAAACCACACCGCTGCAGCAGCGGCCACGCGAGCGACAACAGGTAGACGCTCAAGTGCAGTGAGAAATTTTCAACTTTTAAACAATCAACAAAAAGCTTCAGTTTGCTTTAAACAGTTTTTTGAATCTCATCTTTAAATCTGATCTCACGTTGCCTCTAACAGCAGCGTACTGAGTGGCGAGCTGCCCCCGGCCATGGGGAAGACGGCCTTGTTTTACCACAGCGGAGGCAGCAGCGGCTACGAGAGCATGCTGAGGGACAGCAGCGAGAACACGGGAAGCACTTCCTCCGCTCAGGACTCCCTCAGCGAACACAGCTCGGCCACCACCTCGTCCCGAAGAAGCTCCAAGAGCAGCAAGAAGAGCCGGAGCAACACAGGTCACAATTATATTATTATATTCTATATTTCACATGTTTTCTAAATCTAAAAAGTTATAAGTGGATAAGTGTCTATAGAGGGGCCAAGAAAGGGAAGTAAATTTATGTAATTTACCCTAATCAGTAGAGCCATAGCACTCCTTAATTTAGATATGGTCTAAATATACACTCATTAAGCTACACATCCTGTGGCAACAAGAGCACTGGTTAGTTTTCATGAATAAGTAATTAATATCTAAATCAGTGAGCACAACCCTACTGCCAAATGCCAAGACTTTTGTTCAATTTATCCTCAATACGTGTTACTTTTCACCCTTTTTCTGTGAGCACATTTTATACTTTAACCCCTTAAGCCTCTCGGGCTTAAGGGGTTAAAAGTCTATAGAGGTGAAAATGCCAAAGCTTTTCAGCTAAAGCTTATAAAAAAAATAAAGTAAGATAGAAATGGTTGAAAGAAAAACCACTGTGAGGAGAGTCCAGTGGTGAAAAAAGCACTGAACAGTCGAGGCAAAAGTGAAGAAAGCTGCGGTTGCAGGAGGTGCCAGGTAGGTAAGGTGACCCTGACCGCTCATCTGTGAAATGGTAAAAGGGAATGTGCTGGTGTAGGCTGTAATGAATATATATTCACCAGAACACAACACAGAGAGCTGGCTAATGTGCCTGCCAAATTACCCTCCATCGGTTAAGCATGAGGATGGATATGTGCATAAAATCGGATTGCAGAGAGAGACAGCTCCTCCTGGTGTGTCTCTGATTATTGATTTAAATTGGAATTAGCCTTTCCATCCAAGTGTGTAGGATGCAGTTTCACCTCCAGCCATGCAGCATCAAGTCTGGATTTACTCTCATTTTGCTTCAACCGCAGCAGATTCAGTGGATTTGCGGAGCCAATTCTCTGTCAAAATACCACAAGTTGACACAAAGACATGAAGGATTACTCTGTGTTTGCTGCATGCGGAGGTGAAGCCAGTAGCTGAGGAACACCGGTTATAATGCAGCCCTGACTCAGGAAAACTGAATTTAGTGAGAAGACAGCAGAGCATTTGTACCAAAGGCTGAAGTAACGACTTCCATTAGCTTGGATTCACCAACGTTCCCCCTTTTTCATGTTATTTCATTTATTCCTCTCACACATTTTCTCCCTCATTCGTCCAACTCTCTCTCTCTCCTCTTGCACCTTCTGCTCCCTGCAGACTCTCAATCTTTCTCTGTCCTGTTATATGCTTCTTCCTAATGAAACACAAATGTCTCTGCTTGACCTTTCTGTGCCGCACTGAGACCAAAAGACAACTGAAACCTTATTAAAATCCCCCACTTTCTCTCTCCGCTCTCAGACACTTTATCTTTCAGCTCCCGTTGAATCTGATAACTCGCGTTCCTGTCGACGCCGTCGGCAATTTCTATGCAAAGCGTCTGCGTGAACGTACCAGGGTGTGTGTTCATTGCAGCGCAGTGGACAGATTACAGTCTGACCTTCTGCTCTTATCTATAAGCGTCAACTTTTTTTTATCTTGCTTCACACTCCATTATCTGTTTCTTGTTCTCTGCTTTGCTTCTTGAACACAAAATAGTTTTCCTTTGTCCCCTCCTGTCTGAGAATATCACTGGATGGAGGCTCCAGTGCTCTCCCACCTGTTATCGCTTTACTCAGAATATTCTGCTTTTAGATCGATGCTGGATATTAATTTTCCTCTATATGATACGTATTCTGATGTCAAGGCATGTAAAATGTGTCCCTATTGAGAGTGAGGACACTTAAAGGTCCCATATTATACCTCGTTTTGAACAAGTAAATCAAGTCTCACAAACCTCCACAGTGTTTACCTCCAGCTTCAGCTCAAACAGATCGATAACTTTACCGTATCTAAGGCATCCCTGGTTTCAGCCCTGTTTCAAATGGGCAGCTTCAGTGTCTGTAGCTTTAAATCCAGCTGAGCTGCTGCTGTCCACGCCCCTTTCAGGAAGAAGGCTGCAGGCACACCTCTCTCTGCATCAGTCACATGCTGTTCTTTTTACTTCAGGTACATACTGCAGCTGCCCTCACATCACAGAGTACAAACTGTTGCATTCAGTATGGATGAAACTGGGACACACTGATCCATCATAATGTCGCACCTTAAGCTTTGATTGTCACAGTCTGTCGTGCTAAATGAGCTGTCATCTGTTTGTGCTTTGATTTGGCCAAAAAACTAAAGTGACATCCTTGATTAAGAGACAGCGTCAGATTTTTTTTTCTAAATGTGTGAAGTTTAAAGTTGAACAGCTTTAACGTGCAGCTGTCACGTTAGAAATAAGCAGCTGTGTTAAGAGTGCAGTGAGTGGCAGAATAAATATATTGACTTACATCAGTAACAGTTTTCTAGCAGCATTCTCCTCCAGCATCATTTGTAGCAGCAGCGCTTTTCACTTTAATAAATGTTTATATTGTCCATTGCTCTCCGTTATAGCAGCCTGTTGGCTGAAGGAGATGACACATAATCCGTTATGCATCGAAGGAAAATGAAAAGGAGAAGGGGAAAGACACAAGAGGATGATCTTTTTTCATATTTTGTGGGTCTCTAGAGACACTGGGGACATGTAATTATGTTAAAAAGTGGATTTTGTATGTAATGGTTCCTTTACGTTGTACTGTATCACTGCAGAGCTGTGGGTGGATGTTTTCTCTCGTTTTTGCCTGTTGATTTGGAATGGTCCTATGAAACTGAATGATGAGAAAACAATACTTATAAGTGTTCAAGGAATAATTTAACATAGAAGGAAATACATGTATTTTCTTATGTCCTGACACTTCAAAGAAAAGGTCACTGCCACTCTCATATCTGACCGTTTTAAGGCCACAGCCAGCAGCTTAGCTTAACATTAAGTCTTGACAAAGAGTGAACCTCACTCTGTCCACAGGTAACGAACTAAACCAAATAGTTCTGTTCCAGACTTTGTCTCGCACTCGCTTCGTGGAGCACTGATGTCATTGTGAGGTTGCCAGGCAACCAGTGGTCTGTATGTTATGCTGGCGATGTTTGGACCTGGTGCTGCTTCTAGTTTCAGGCTGTGTTTTCACACTTTGCCACATTTTTTATTTTTTTTTCCGAAATGCTTGTTGTCAAGTTCATGAAGATGTTTTCTTGGTTGTCTTGGATTTGGTCTATTAGCCTTTAGTTTGTTTTTTTTAAAGCTGCAGTCTGTTGGGCTCTCTCAGCCTCCACACAGCAGCATACTGGCTGTGGCCTTATATAGAATTCACAAATATGCAGAATATAAATATTTCCGGGTTGCAAGGTGGCGCAGCTGGTTAGCACCGTTGCCTCGCAGCAAGAAGGTGGCTGGTTTACGTCCCGGTGGGGGCACTGGGATCTTTCTGTGTGGAGTTTGCATGTTCTCCCCGTGCAGCGTGGGTTCTCTCTGGGTTCTCCGGCTTCCTCCCACAGTCCAAAAACAGGCTGAGGTTAATTGGTGATTCTAAATTGTCTGTAGGTGTGAATGTGAGTGTGCTTGGTTGTCTGTCTCTAAGTGTAGCCCTGTGATAGACTGGTGACCTGTCCAGGGTGTCCCCTGCCTTCACCCTGAGTCAGCTGGGATAGACTCCAGCCCCCCCATGACCCTAGTGAGGATTAAGCAGTGTATAGATAAGGGGTGGATGGATGGATGGATGGATGGATGGATGGATGCATTATTTGCAAAAATTGTCAAAGAAAGATTGAATAAGTAGGTCTTTGAGCAACTAAGCAATGGAGCTCAATGGAGCTTCTTAATAAGTAAATGTGAAACTCAGTGGAGGATTTGGGGGCTACTGTATAAACTGCAGCATTAAATGTGTTTTTATGTCAAAGGACACTTTCTATAATTCACTCTGCTGGTGTGTAACTCTACTTTTTGTGATCTCCATCCTCTGTGGTCTTCCAGGTCTCCAGCGTCGTCGTCTGATCCCAGCGCTGACCTTGGACTCTTCTTCTTCGTCACCTTCTCACCGCTCCTCCAAACAGGCCATCACTTCCTCTTCCTCCTCCTCCTCCAGCCCCGGTGCATGCTGGGTAGACGGCCCACTGGGGCCTCCCGCACCCTCAAACCTCCGAAGCGCGACCGCGACAACGGAGACCTTTGAGATCAAGGTGTACGAGATCGATGATGTGGAGCGACTGCAGAAGAGGAGGGACAAAGGAGGGAGCAAGGTGAGACAGAGGCAGGGGGAGGGATGGGTGAGAGGAGGGAAGGTGGGAACACAACTGGGTTAGAGTGAGTCAGGTGTTGATTGCAGGGCTCTTCCTGTCCACAGGCTGAAGTGTTGCTGAGCAAAAACACATCCCTCTTCTTATTTCTCAGCTTGGACCTTGCTTCCTCTCCACATGTCTTAGCTCCTCCTACTAGAAATGCAAATGATGGAAGGAAGGAAGGGGATGAGGAGGGAGGAGACAAGGCAACAGGCATTTAACAAAAACATCCCTGCCTTGGAGCCGCCATTTTACAGTGACGTCAGGCAGCTGCATTATCTATACATTGATGTTTATGATCTGTGCAAGATGATCATAACTGTTTATGATAACTTAAAGAACCTATTTACCTTTAATTCAATTCAATATCATCGACTCTTGTTTTACACACATGAACCCTACAAATACAGAAGGAACACTTACGTTTGCAAAATCCTTCTCCATCAGGATTTATGTCATCTAGCCATGTGTCACGTCTCTTTTATGTTTCGTGGATGCTGGAAAGACTTCTGCATAGGATACACCTGTACGTCTTCGCTCATAGCTTCTCCGGCAAGCCTCTTCTCTCCTCAAGATGTTTTGTAGGAGCTCAGTTCAAGATGTCAAACTGAGATCAGTGTCTGGGTCACTGACGGGAGGAAGGAGACAAGGTGGCACAAAACAGAGACATGAGGGTGAGAAAAGAAAGGATCCTCAGGGAAAGGGTGTGAAAGGCACAGGGAGAAAATTAGTGGAATTAAGTTTAGAAACGTGGTAAAGAGAAAATGGTAAATGATGCTTGGAAACAGGCGCAACAGAGGAAAGAAGTGAAGAGTCATGCTGTGGTGGCTGGCTGGGAGGAGAGGCATGAACGCATAGAGAGAGGATAAAAGAAGGTGGCGAGCAAAGAGCATGAGGCCCATTACACTTGATGCCAATGAAATTGATTTGCCGAATAACAGTTGTGGGACACATTAAAAGGCAGTAAGTGTTGTGCTGGACACGGCTGCTAATGAAGAACACAGGAGGAAGCTGGAAGAGAATGGAAGGTAAAGGACCTGATGTGCCAACGAGGAGAGAAACCGACGAGTTTTAAAAATACAACAGTGTGGATGAATGAATCAACATTAGCTCTACTGTCTGCACTTTTTCATAAATCTACATTAGTTTTCTCTCACTTTTAAAATAACATTTTTCCAAATGATTATAAATTCCGAAGAGTTTGCAAAAATGCGGACGGTGGAACTCGTGAATTCGTTGCAAATGAATGCATGGTGCAGTTTCTTTTTTTTTTCCGTTTTACACTGTTAAACCTTTATGTATTCAGAGGAGGGAGCATTGTGAGCTTTGGGGGGAAAAAAGGGAGGGAAAGAAAAGCATGAAATATAGATTTTCCCTGCAGCGGCCTTAAGAAAGCCACTTAACCCCCGACTGCTCCACGTGAAGCCGCCCGGCGTCCGAAAGCACACAACCGCGGTCACGCTGGGAGTCGCCGAGGTGTGAATGTATGTAGCCGTGTGGATGTTAAGCAGAAAGAGAGGCGCATGTGTTTCCCAACACGCTGCTCTGGAAAAAATAAAGGTGAATAAAATCCATATCCGTCTGTCCGTCCTCTCCCTTTGTGTCAGGAGGTGGTGTATGTCAGCGCCAAGCTTCGTCTGCTGGAGCACCGCCAGCAGCGAATCAGTGAAGTCCGAGCCAAGTACCAGTGTCTGAAGAAAGAACTGGAGCAAACCAAACAGTACTTGATGCTGGAGCCGCACAAGTGGACCACCGAGTGTAAGTCTACATGCATGTGTGAGGAGGAAGACAGGAAGTTCTCAGCTGGTTAGAAAAAGGTTATGAGGAGATGATTGATTAGAAAGAAATTCATAATCCCTGCAAGTTACCATGGGTACTCCTCTGATTTTTTCGTCCGGGTCTCGGTGACATTCAAGAACAGCTACATACTGGATTCTGAGCATGATGGAAGTTGCATCCGATGTTTTGTTCGTTGGTTTTTAAAAGGATAAGGCTGATGTTGTTCTAATCTTCTTATTGTCAGTAAAACCAAAGCAAAGATCACTTAACATCCCTCTCAGACACTCGCCAGTGGTGGAAGAAGTATTCAGATCCTTTATTTTGGTTAAAGTCTGATACAGCAATATAAATATACTCCGTTATAAGTTAAAGTCCTGCATGAATAATTCTACTTTAACTGCAGTTCGTCCAGCAAAATGAAGTTACAGTCAAAGTTTGGTCTCTCCTACTGATATATTCTTATATATGACGTTATTAAATTAGTAATAGTGCAGCGTCAGCATGTTGTAGCTGCTGCAGGTGGAGCTTGTTTGAGTTACTTTACATCCAGGTTTATATAGAGGGATAGAAGATATATGTGAGGGCTTGTTATGTGAATGATGGGGAAAAAATAAGTGTTTGCTAAAATATTAGATCACTTGAACATTTATCAAAATTAAACCATGTGAGAAGTTTAGAAAGAAAAAGCATCATTATTTGGTGGAGCTGTTAAGAACCCACATCTGAAATCTACAATGTGACCCCGACCAGGCACCGCTGTTTGTAAGTGGATAAAAAAAAGATAGAAACCTTTGATTTAGACTTTAACAATGTGTTGTATTTTAATAATATGTTATCCAAGTAACTAAAGTTGTCAAATGTACTAAAGGTAGAAACGCCAGTGAAATGTAGTGGAGTAATTTGAGTAACTCTACTTAGTTATTTTTCACCATGAATGATACTCATTTACAAGCCCACTGGCTCCTCTTTAGGATGTAAATCTTACACAAAAGCTTGCTGTAGTTTTTTAGCAAATATTGTTCAAGTAGGAATAAAAAGTGCTTTTATAGGAGCTGTTTTCAGCTGGTGCTCCAGTGAATATTCACAGCAAAAGGACTGCATGAAAAATTGGTTAATAATAAGCTACAGTCACTGTGTTCATCATTGTACAGAAATATTGTATGTCACCCAGTGCAGGAGTGTGTCTCAGTGTGTTTTAGTTGCACAGAGCAATAAGCTAAATCAGGCTTTGACTTTAAACACAATACTTTTTATTTTGATCGGCCCATCATTGCTTATGTGTATTTCAGGGAAGTTTTTCAACAATAAGAAAATGTAGAATCCTCACGTTTTAACACAAAGTGCTTCCAGCAGTGTTGTAGTGAGGCCTGATGTATTTTGTCTTTCCGTCTCTATCCAGTTGAGCTACAGCAGGTCTACGAGGTGGACTCACTGGAGTATTTGGAAGCTCTGGAAACCGTCACGGACAAACTGGAGACCAGAGTCAACTTCTGCAAAGCTCATCTCATGATGATTACCTGCTTCGATGTGTCCTCACGGCATCGGTAGACAGATGGAGGGACGGAGAGTCAGACGCACAGCTGGACTCAATTAGGCGTCGGATGTTTGTACCTTTTGCCCCCTAATTAATCAAACACATTTAGAAAACATCTCTTTAACAAATAAATCTCATCGGATGGAGGAGGGACACGGGGGATGGACTGAACGCTACATCCTGCATGTTGTCTCCTCCAGATGGAGGTCGGCAGAGGGACGGATGGACGGATGGATCTAATGGGGATACAGAGATAAGTTACAGGCCAACAGACAGACCAGCTCATGGCTTTTTTTGTGTGTGTCGGGGGTTTGAAAACGACCCCAGAAACGGACATTAAACAGCATCTAATGGACGCTTTAAATCAGACAAACATGGCTGTCTAAAGAGGCAGACAGATGGTTGTGGGTCTGAAAAGAAAAATCAGCAGCAAGTGACCAGAGAGCTAATATAAGTGGACTACAGAGACGCCTCTCAGACTGGACATTTAAGAATGTACGGAGAAGACAAGGAGGAGAAAGACGAACAAAAAACTGCCATTTTTTTTTAAAAACACGGAAGGACAAAGAAGAGATCTCTCATCGTTTTGGAAGAGCACTTTCTAAGAGTTTACATAGTTGAGAGTCTTTTGGCTGTAAATACGGCGCGCTGACGACAGAATGGCCCGGTTGTGTTGTTGTTGTTGTTGTGCAGAAAGACAGCAGGACAAAGAAAAAGATTTAGATAAGTGCCTTGTGAACATTTCAACAATACCAAGACCAATTATTTCTCTCTGAATTTGTGTACATGCAGTAAGTATGGTGCTAGCATAGGAAGAAGAAAAAAAAAATCCCCCACAAAAGATCAGCGTCCTTGAAAAAAATCTTTTCATTTATAGTCATTTCTAAATGTGATGTTTTACTGTGGCTCAGTGTTTGACTATATGATAAACTAATAATGTATGTTTCAATGTGTGGTCTTTGGTGCATTGACGAGAAGTATTTTGAAGGTAACACCAAGTCCTCTTTGAAACAATAAACTGTTGCAAGGACCAAAAATCTAAATTTAAAAAAAACACACATTTTTTTTTCTAAGTGTTTAAACTGAAAAAAAAAAAAAAATGTTGTGGTGTTTTTATCTTGACTTTACTCACAAACATCCGAGTTTTGACCCTCTGTGGCATCCATACACAATATCTCCCCCGATACAGATACGATGGCTTTTTCATGTTCACAAAGCAATGAAACGTCTGAGTCACACAGGAGTGGAAGTGAAAATGTTCCTCTTTGATCCAGTGTTAAGTACATCCATCGACTGACTGACTGACAGGCCGACTGTCTGTTCTTTGTATCCGTGTTGTTCTGCTCTATTCTAAAAGAAACCCAATGATTCGTCGACGTGTGTGTTTTATAATAAGGTTTCCTTTTTTTATTTGAGTGCAATGGGACCACGTAGAGACTATTTATAATAGTAGGATCATGAAAAGAAAAAAGAGATATTTAAAAATAGATAGTGAAGAGGAGGTGCAGGATACACCCACTGATGGGAAGTGTTCAGATTTTATATATTATTGGAACAAAGTGGTGAATTTAGTCTGGAAATACTTTGAGAGCACAATTATGGGTGGTTTAAATAATCCCAGTATTGTGTCCCAACATTGTAAAGGAGCGAAAATATTAAAAAGAAAATTCATGTCCAGTTCAAACGGCATAGATCTCTGCCTGGTTCCATTATTCGGGGGATGGATAGCAACACTTAAAATTTGTTAATACTATTATCTATGGTGCTTGAGATGTTTATGATCTAAATGTTTGTACAAATATAAATATATGGAAGAGCCTGTTTCCCTCTGAAATACAGAACAAAACACTTCAAACGCTTCTTCTACATCTTCTGCCATCGCGTCTGTTGTCCTCAGTGTCACCACCCGCTCCTCTGAGTGGCTTTGCAAGCAGAGAGCATCCTGGGAGACGCCGCTAATCCTCTCGAAAGGTGAAAGGAGGAACAGACGCTGACTTCAGAGGAGTGGAAAATGCTGTAATGACATCGGTATGATTTGTCCAAATACCGCTAAATGTACCTCTCTGCTCAGAGCACAAAAGCTGTTTTGTTCCTGTGGACGGACGCAGAAGCAGAACATTTGCAGATCAGTCTGCAGGGTTTGACATTCTCGTAACAGCGATTCATTTCACGCGGCGTCCACCTCCAGAAGGAAATGAGCCCGAATGCTTTTGACAAAACTGGACCTACGAAGTGTTTCCACCAGAGGCAGCCCTTAACATTGTCCTGTTTTTATCTCCCAGTTCACCGTGCAAGTCATGAATGAAAGTTTATTTATTTGAGCTCAAGAGGGCAAAGTCGCTAATTAATGTTCTTATTTATTTACACCTTATGATCTTAAGAAGTTACTATGCATTTCAGGAAAAAGAAAAATAACTGTACATACTTCGCTGAGCCCGTGTCATATATAAATATATATACTGTGCACATATCATATATGCGCTCATTTTTATTTTATATATTGTTTTTTTTTTGGTTGGTTTCATTTGCTCCTGTTGTTCCTCTTGGGGATTTTCATGGGTTTCCTAAAACATTCATCAGTCATGTGGCTCCACAAGAACACCAGTAAATTCAACCAGAACTCTACACTGATGGTTCATTGGTTTTTTTTTTTTACATGTGAAGAAAAAAAATAACATTTAGTGTGAAGACAGCTGTGTTGCTTTAAGTGAAACGCTCGTGTCTTCTCCAGTGCTACAGCCTTGTGTAATCAGCAGTGGATGTTTTGGGAAGCCCAGCCTCTGGACGAGCTCACGGTTGGCCCGGTTGTTACAAGATGCTATGTGGGAGGTTTCCTCCTTGATACGTCACTGCCAAATCTGTCATGGTAGCGCTTTATAATTCAAGCAATAATTGAAAATCAAATGGGGTTTCGGTGTCCGCATGTTGTTTATAGTGAAGCTAATAGTCCGTATGAACCATGCGGAGTGTTTTAAATCTGATTATTTACCAAATGGCATATCAGAGCAAACAGTAAAAGGTACAAATTGACGTATGTGCAGTTGCAGGAGCATTCAAGAATTATAACGTGTTATCTGGAGATCTGACGCATAGCATCTTTAAGTTCTTAAGGAGTACTGTGTGTTAAAGTCTGAGTCAGACCACATTTACCAAAAACAGATGTTCTCATTAGTGTTGAAACTCGACTTCAGTTCCTCTCAAGACAGAGATTGGAAAATCTCCAGATAACTGATTAAAACCAGTTTTCTGTAAAGAAGAATTAGTTCTTACACACAGCCTTGATCAATATCTTTGGTAATTCTCTTTGGAAAACAGCTACGCATCAAATGAAAGGATGTGTTTGTGTTGATTCAAGATCACGCTGTCCTCTGCAGATGTACCGTTTTTGTGAGATGTGGTCTGACACACTGTGTTGATGGACGAGTAAGACGGAGGGATGTAAATAAAGGAATGTATTGAAAGAGTTTCACATGTGATTCTTCGTTCTTTTCACACAGAACAGACAAGCAGCAAGATGTCAGGCGAAATGTGGAATATGGAATAAAGCTGGCAGGCAGCTGATAGATTCACACATTATGACATGAAAAATCAGCTACACTTCTCTGAATTTGGTTATTAAACGCACATAAACAAGACTGGAGCAGCTCGAGAATATCACCGCATGTGTGTGTGGACCTCTGGTGCCCTGAAGGCAGCTTTCTCTGTGACATATTGCCCTGTTGAGCCCGCTTTGATCACCAATGCACAGCAGGGAACAGGAAGGAGGAGAAGGAAGGAATGAAAGCGAGAGGAGAAAGAACAGATCAGAGAGGAGAGGAAAGTAAAGGCAGCAAAAGGGAAATGCAAGAGGAAAGGGAGAGAAGGAGAAAGAATAGGAGTGCAGGATTACATTTGACAAAAGGGGGAGAAGAGATGGATAAAGTGTGGAAGAGCAGAACCGGTGCAAGAGAAGCAAGAGGTGAGGTTTGGGAGTTCCTGGAATTTCAGGTTAGAAATTTTAACTTGGAAAATATAGAAGGAGACAGATCTGCAAGGTAATGTTGGCAATAATCGCTCAGCGTGAGTCCTTTCTGATCTTATCAGTCTGTTCAATTATTCACCTCAGGCAAGTGCATGAGTTTCATTTTCTGGGAACCTAAAGAGCCCTCACAATAAAAATCTAGTTTTTCACCCTGCTATCACGTCCATATGGTGTGTTTTTTATATGCTGGAAGACACATCATGAGGTAAACATGCAGTTAACACAATGGCTGAGCGTTTCCACCTTGAAGCTGCAGCGTGCTGATGACTGACGCATCAAAAACATGTAATTATGGGGTTTCATACATAACACAGTTTAAAAAATAATAACTGTAGACTTGCAGGGTGCTGCTTTCTGCAATATTATTCCTCTTCAGAATCAGTTTCTGCTTTCAACATGCATGGCTGAACTACTCCAATATTACACCTCACCATTGTGTAGAATAATTTTACAGTGTTTGAACAGAGTCAAAGGTGAGCTGGTGAGCAGAGGGGCGGAGGAGAGAGAAGCTAGGACCAATCTGCATATTCATAGATCCACTCGTTAGAGGTGTAGAGATACATGTGAGCCATTTTAAGCCATGAAGGGATTTTTCTTTCATGGAAAAAGCTTCTAAATATATCCATCTAATGAACAGAGATGAGTTTTTAGGGCTCTAATTACAGCCAGGAGAGATTTTTTAAATTCTAGCCACAAGTTTGTACCAACAAACAAAAGCAAATGTGGTTTCTAGACAGCTCACATGTAAATAGGACCTCTTTTAAATTTTATCTGTAAATGTAGTGAGTTCATGACTTTCTCAAGAACTAAGTTTGGTAATTGTAAGTCAGCCAATTATAACACAATGAAATTAAGCAAATTAAAACATCTGAAGAACCTGCAAAGAGTTTACCGTCACGCTAGCAGCTCTGTGAGGCTGTAAGTCGGCACAGTGATGCTTTTTAGCTAAATGCGAACATCAGCTGACTCACCACGCTGCTCAAAGTTTTGTGCATTCGTATGCTAACATTTGCTAACGTGCATAAAACACAAAGCACAGGAAAGTTTTTCAAGCATGAAATGATAAAGCAAAGTGACAGTTGGCAGGATGAAAGTTAAGAGATGAAGGAGATATGAATGAATGTGCAAAGTTGCTGATGTTAGTAAAAAATACATTTACAAACTGAAGTCAGTGGATCACCAAAGTCTGTGACCTGATCATCAAGAAAAGACAAATGCTTTTACAGAAGTTCATGATAAGGCATGCAGTTTGGTATGGATGTTAAAGTGATGCTGGTAGTGTAGATAAAAATCACAATGATAGAAACAGGCAGCTTTCAGGTCAACTAGCGCACAGAGTCAAGTTAAAATGTGTTCAGGTAGCTGCAACAGAGGCTGTTCTGGTCAACAGTGTTTGGTTTTAAAAAACTGATCTGAATAAATAGAAGCTCAATCAAAGGTGGTGGGATGAGAATACGATGAATAAAAGTGAAATATGGTTCTTCTTTGTTTTTAAATCAGTGTACGATTACAGGACTACCATGAACATTTGGTAAAATCCAACAACTCCTGATCACTGAACCTTAAAACCAGAAGAAAATCATTGAGAAATGATAGAACGGTTAAAAATCTACCATCTTCAGGTTTTTTTTTTTTTTTTTTTTTTACAGCTTCTGCCGGCAGAATCTCTCTGCATGCGAGCTCAATGGAAAAGCAGACTCCTCCTGTTAAACAGTAGTTTTGACCTTTTAAAAGCCCAGTTAGTGGATGTCAGACACCCCCTCACCATATGCTTCCTGCCTACCGCTTCATCTGACTGACCAATAAAGGAAAGATGCCAAAAAGAAAGCTCACTTGGTAAGCTTATGAATAAAGGAGTCATAAAACATTAACCTTGATGTATTTGTTCTATATTGTTGGTCTGTTGTATTAAGAGACTTGTTTTAAATTAGAGGAGGAGAGCTACAAAGATGAAGAGGAAGCGAGAGATGATGGCAGGTAGAGAGCAAAGAGAGCGTAGAGGTGAGGTGAGAACCAGAGAGGGGGAGTGTCTCTGAAATGACAGCGAAAATTGAACATGGGGGAGAGTAAACGGCAGACGGGCGAGTGAATGAAGGTGGTTAAAACCTGGCTTCGATTGGCTCAGGCTGCCTGCAGAGAGGCGCAGTGAAAGAGAGACGAGACACCAAAGAATGGTGAATTTAATTTGAAAGCCTTTGGGGAGTGAGAGGGATAGGAAACGGGGTGAGAAAAAGAGAGCGAGCGACGGAGGGGGAGAGACAGGGGGTCACGGTTAAGCAATAGTAAATCGAATTTGATGGATGTTATGAGGTGGAAGAGAGGAGACGGAAAGTAACGGAGCCTGTGAAGGAAGTAACAGAGGAAGAGTCAGAACAGAACAGCGGGAACGGATCCTCTACGGGTCAATCAGTCCACTGGTGTCGTCGCCGAGCCGCTCTGTTTAGTTTGAAACACAATCAGTTCACAGTTTTTTCTTCTTTTTAA